TTTAAATAGCTCAAACTATGCCATTTTTGTTGGCTTTTCAAAGCTCTGGTTTAATGAGCGTAAAACCTATTGATGCATATATTAACCCCCACCACCACATATTACAGGTATTACTCAGTTCACAGATCAATCACACAATAAATTTAGACCAGCTGCACATGCAAAGTAATAGTCTCAGTTCATTGGGTAATCACACAATAAAGGCAGACCAGCCACATGTACAAAGTAATTATTTAGTATTTAGGTTAGCTATTAAGAAGCACTTTCTCACTAGAGTGGTTGTAAAACACTGGAACAGGTTACCCAGAGAAATTGTGGACTCTCCATCCTTGGAGGGTTTTGAGACCCAGCTAGGTAAAGCCTTGGCTGGGATGATAATTTGGGGGGTGGTCCTGCTTTGAGTAGGGGGTTGGACTAGATGACCTCTGGAAGCCCCTTCCAACCCTCACTTTCTATGATGATTCCTAAAAAATTACTAGACAGCTGTAAAGAGCGAGCTATATAGTTAGTGCTGGAAAATACATAACAACCCTAGAGCTGGTTTCTATCCAGCTTTAATTTGAATGTGGAGCATAACCCTTAGAGGTAACTGATTTGGCATAATGATGCTGCTTTTTAATTTATGAAAAAGGTGGTGAGATTCTTCCAACTGTCTGTGTAATTACAGTTAGCTTAAATCTCTGCAGAGGCTACATCTGAAGGAATTAAATTATAGGCAAGTGATATTACTAGTAGCCACTGTGTACAATTATGACTGTAGACTGGATGAGATAATAAACACTTCAGGTAATGGTTGAGTGATCTAATTTGTGGACAGAGATTGTAGTGAGTCATATGTCAAGAGTTCCCAGTGGTGGATTAACATTCAAGTCGCGTCTTACGTGTATTTAACTTATGCGAATTCAACTATACGCGCTCGGCTGCTGGGGCTGGCCATCGGGTGCCAGCTGGGGCACAGCACATAATATGGCTGCCACATGGTACTGCCTGCACACACCGGCATGGCTGCGGGGCAGCAGCTCGCTCACACTCAGCTGGCTGCCCTGGCAGGACGAAGTGGCAGAGGACAAGAGGGGTGAGGAGTGCAGCAGGAAGGGCGATTTCAACTATACGTGATTTTCGCCTTATGCGCTGACTTCAGCACGTAACCCCCACGTAAGATGCAACCCGACTGTACTTGGCCCACTTGTCACTGTTGCTTAAATACCATGTGGCCTCAAATTATTTGTAATTAACTTTTATTTTTGTTTTGATAGCACCTTAGTTGTAATCTTAACTCTAAATTCCCTGCATACATCCTAAAAGCAGCATTCTTGTGCTGTTTTTATGATCAAGTTACTCACTTTTCTAATAGAAAGCTACAGGCTTTTATCACTCCTCACTAGCATTTTTCAGATAAGGTATTTTAGAACCCTGTTTCTCAATCTTTTTAAATTCAGGGCATCCCTCCATGTTGCTTTCGATTTGGCAGTTTCCAGGTGAACTGCTGTTGTGATACCTCAGCTTGCCTCAGTAGTTCTCAGCTGGGATGCAGCTACTGTTGCTGCCATAGCCAAGTGCGACTGCACTGCCCGTCTTGTGCACAGCCAGAAATAAGCCTCAAGTAGACAAGTGCTTTTCTCACTTTGCCCTAGCCCTCACACTTTCCTCCTGGGAACAGAAGTGAGCAGGACAATTCCACATCCCTCTAACCAGGAGGAGAATGTGCAGCAAGGGTGGGTTCTTCCGCCTGCTTTAGGCTTGCAAGGCACACAGGGCAGTTCCACCTGACTGCTGCAACACCCTTGAAAGGGTCTTGTGGCACCAAAGTTGAGAACCACTGTTTTAGATCATATACATCAGAAAATAGGAGCATAGGATAAAAAGATGCTTCCTGGGACCTTAAGTCCAGTCCTCTATGTTCACAGTCAACCATTTCTTTGAAACAGTCCATAAAAACTTCAATTCTGGCCCTTTTTACACACCACAGCCACAAAATGTAGGCTTTGCAAAAGGAGGAGATGAGGGCATTACCAGTACCTAAGTGAAACCTAAATTCAACCTGAGTTATGATCAAATATCTTCCTTTAAATGTAACATCCCTTATTCTTTCAGAGACCTCAAAAAAGTTATGAATGTAAAACATCGGGTATATAAGGAGTCTTAAAACTCCACCAAAACAATTGCTTTTTATTAACTTCCAGATGTTGCAACAGATAACTCAGAGATGGTGGGGGACCATGAAACCTTACTGCTCTAGAGTTTACCAAGAAGTGTGGTTTGGCGTGGCATGCACCAGCTACATGTATTACAAAATTTCACATGGCGGTAAGTCACCTTGTTTCAATCTTAGGTTAGTTATACCTACTTTGAAATCCCAGAAGTGATACCTTCTGTTGTAGCTACAGTTGACCTGTATCTGAGAAATTAGTTGTATATATTTTGATAATTGGGAGTTGTACCATTTCTTGCTAAAGCCAGATCTACACTAGAAAATGCTTATAAGTATATAGGTGTCAAACTTCCCAGTGAAGAGACAGCAGCACCACCAACACTTTATGCCAACTTAATAGCATCTCTGAGAGAGCATTTGTTAGAGTTATTTATTTTAAAATTCCTTTATTTTGTGATGAAATTAAGTAAGAATTTGAATATATAGGTTAAACTGTAACAGTGGGATTATCCCCTAGTTAGCAAACAAGTTCCAAATTTAGTATAAAAACTAAACTCAGTTGCATATCAGTGGAACCTTAATGAGTCTGAATTTGATTCCTTTACTCATCAAAAATGCACATCTTCTATTTCAAAGATCTAACAGCAGAGACTTATGGTAACATTTTATAAATACTGCACTTCATTACACTTGTTATTTAAAAAATAACTTAGTGTTAAACATAAGATACCTCTGCTGTCTTCCATGGGGGTGCTATCTTGTTCATTTCCAGTCTTCACTAGCACATTATCAGAGATTACTGTAAACATGCTACTGCTTGTGATTGTATATGCTACTGCTTGACTTGGTCATTGATGGCTGAACATCTTAAGACTTGGAAAATTTAAGTGGGCAAATATAAATCCAAACTCTTTTGGAAAATTTATGTTTTTTTACTTTCTGTTTCTAGGTAAAAAAGACAAGAAAAACAGTACGTATTAACTTAAATGTATACTGCTGTATGTTATTCTAGGTAATAAAATAATTCACAACAAATCCTATTTGTTTAAAGTTGAAATTAGATACATGTATATATGCGTGTAAATATATGTATGTTGCAAAGTAGAACTTAAGGGCAAAGCTTTAGTTAGTTATAGTTCTGTCTGTATCGCACTGCTAATCATGGAATCATAGAAATTTAGGGTTGGAAGGGACCTCAGGAGGTCATCTAGTCCAATCCCCTCCTCAAAGCAGGGCCATCCCCAACAAGATCATTTTTGAAAACCTCCAAGGATGGAGCTTCATAGTTTCATAGTAGGTTGGGAAGGGACCTGAGCAGATCATCAAGTCCGACCCCTGCCATGGCAGGAAAGAGTACTGGGGTCAAACAACCCCAGCAAGGTGATTGTTGAGCCTTGTCTCAAAGACCCCCAGGGTAGGAGCCAGCACCACTTCACTTAGACGTTGGCTTCAGATCCTAGCCACCCTGACAGTGAAGTAGCACCTCCTGATGTCTAATCTGAATTTACCCTCTGCCAGCTTGTGACTTATTTCTAGTCACTCCTGGTAGTGCTCAGGTGAACAGGGACTCCCCCAATGCCTGGTGGTCCCCTCTGACTAGTTTGTAACAGGCCACTAGATTCCCCCTCAGCCTTCTCTAGTGGAGGCTGAACAGGTTCAGGTCCAATAGCCTCTCCTCGTAGGGACTGCCCTGCTGCCCCCTGATCATGCGAGTGATCCTCCTCTGGACCCTCTCCGTGTTGTCCGCAACCCTCCTGAAGTGCGGCGCCCAGAACTGGATGCAGTACTCCAGCTGCGGCCTGACCAGTGCCGCATAGAGGGGGAGGATCACCTCCTTGGACGTGCTCGAGATCCATCTGTGGATGCATGACAAGGTGTGGTTGGCCGTCCTGACTTCATCCCCACACTCCCTGCCCATATTCATCTTGGCGTCAATAATGACGCCAAGATCCTTTTCTGCCTCTGCACTGATGAGAAGGGAGTTCCCCAGCCTGTAGGTATGGTGCCAGTTCTTCCTTCCCAGGTGTATCACCTTGCACGTGTCAGCACTGAATCCCATCCTGTTCTCATCCACCCACCACTGTAACCTGTCTAGGTCCGATTGTAGCCTATTCCTCCCTTCTAATGTGCCCACATCCCCCCACATCTTAGTGTCATCAGCAGATTGAACAGGGTGCTTTTTACCCCCTTGTCCAAGTCACTGATGATGTTGAACAGTGCAGGCCCGAGGACCGAGCCCTGGGGGACCCCACTGTCCACGTCCCTC